TTTACATGATATATCTTGGTTCTTATTTTTCCCCATTCCCCTGCCCTCCCTTCACCCCCTCCACCCTTCCCTATTTACAAAGGCTTTGTTTCCATTGTTTTTCCTTTTCTCATATTTTTTTCTTTTCTCTTCTTTCCTTTCCCCTACCCCTTCTACTTCCCCTACTCCTTTAGACCTTTTCTTCCTACTTCACAATATCAGTTATACATTTTGATCCTTATTTACACTTTTAGTTTTTCACACTAGAGAAACTATTCGGTATTTACACATGTGTGTCCTATTTATTTCACTTCAGAGTATGGCCTCAATGTGTATAGTTCAGGGTGACTTTGAACTCACTACGAAGCCCAGGCTTGCCTCAATCTTGAGGAAATCCTCCTGCCACAGCCTCCCAAGGGCTGGGATTACAGGTGTGTGTGCCACAACACTTGGCCTCCTTACTCAGTTTTTCACATGATGTCTGTTTGTTTATTTGTTTGTTGTATGGGGGTTTTGTTATTGTTGTTTTGGGGATTGGGGGGTATTTTTTAGTTTTTTTTTTTTTTTGAGAGAGAGAAGGTCTCCCTCTGTAATTCATTCTGGTCTTAAACTCACTGTAGCTCAGGCTGGCCTCAAACTCAAAGTAGTCCATCTGCCTCAGCCTCCCAAGTGCTGGGATTATAGGCATGCGCCACCAAGCTTGGTGTTTTGGGTTTTTTTAGACAGAGACTGGCTATGTTGTTCAGACTGGCCTTAACCTCACTATGTATCCCAGGCTGGTCTCGAACTTGGGATCATGCTGCCTGAGCTCCCAAGTACTGGATTGCAGGCATGTACCACCATGCCCACCATGTACTGGGGATCGAACCTAGCACCTCATGCATGCTAGGCAAGTGCTCTTACACTGAGCTGTATCCCTAGCACTTTTTATTTTATTTCTTTTTAATTTTGAGACAATTTCAATCAGTTGCCCTGGCTGGCCCCAAACTTGTGATCTTCCTGCCTCAGCCTCCTGAGTAGCTAGCATTATAGGTATGTGCCACCATGCTCAACTTCACATCATATTTTGATGAAATATAGCACCTTATTTTATTGAGTAGGTAGTTGGTGCTTTTATTATTAATTGGCTTTTGAGAAATTTAATAAATAATGAAAAGATCACAACTGTTTTGACTTTGGATTTGCATACCAGGAAACCCTATCTGAACTCTTACAATATGTAACTAGCAGGTCATTTTATGCCAAGAATTCTGCCTCAAGAGCCACTGATGCAATAGCTGAAGTAAAAGCTTCGTAAGTCCATTTACAGAGCCAGCTTTTTTATTAGGTCAGGAAATGAGATAAAGTCATGTGTGTCTAAACATCTTCCTTAATCCAACAGTATATAGGATATTAAATATTCCAAATTTCACCTAGTTGTTCATTTTATTTGTGTAAGTGGCTTCAAATCCTGAATCATATTGGGTAGGTTTAAAACAATAAATTTATTTGTCCTTATAAAATCTAATTGAGGGGCCAGGGATATAGCTCAGTGGCACTGCACCTGCCTGGCAAGCGCAAGGTCCTGAGTTTGATCCCTGGTTCCACACACACACAAAAAATCTAATTGAGTGTTTTGTTTATTTTTATGTATAGGTCTTGCTATTTTGGAAGCTACAAGAGAAAATAGATTAAGGGAAGATTTGGTCTTCTTATTGGACATGGCTCAGATATCAAGCAACAATGGATTTAAACAGTGTTCATCTTCCCATCTGGATCCAACAAGAACAAAAGAAGTGGACAAAGAAGAAGCATTACAGATGGAAGCAGAGGCTTTAGCAAAACTGCAGAAGGATAGACAAGTGACTGACAGTCAAAGAAGCTTTGAGTGGTCAAGCAGCACCAGACAAAAAGCACAAGTTTTAAACAAACAGGATTATGATCTTATGGTGTTTCCTGAATCAGAGTCCCACCAGAGAGCAGTTGATATTGATGTAGAAAAGCTCACCCAAGCTGAACTTGAGAGACTATTATTGGATGATGGTTTTGAGACTAGAAGAACACCTGTGTTGCCCGTTACTCCTGTTCTGAGCCCTTCATTTTCAGCACAGCTCTATCTTAGACCTACTATTCAGAGAGGACCATGGCTACCTGGATTATCTGGGCCTTCCACTTACACTTCTATTTATCCCTCAACTTACAGTAAACAGGCTGCATTCCAGAATGGCTTCAATCCAAGGATGCCTACTTTTCCATCTACTGAACCTATATATTTAAGACTTCCCGGACAGACTCCATATTTTTCGTATCCTTTGACACCTACCACCCCCTTTCATCCACAAGGAAGCTTACCAATCTATGGTCCAGTAGTCAGTCCTGACATGGCAAAACTATTTGACAAAATAGCCAGTACATCCGAATTTTTAAAAAATGGCAAAGCAAGGACTGATTTGGAGATAACAAATTCAAAAGCTACTGTCAACAATCTACAGGTATCTCCAGAGACTGAGGATATTAGTAAATTTGACTGGCTAGACTTGGATCCTCTAAGTAAGCCGAAGGTGGACAATGTGGAAGTACTAGACCAGGAAGAATACAAACATGTTCCAAGTTTGCTAGCAGAGGATCCTTGGGATGCTGTTCTTCTAGAAGTGAGATCACCTGCAAGTGGTCACCTCGAAAGAAAGATGAATGGAAAATCTTTTTCTGGGGCAACTGTAACAAGAAGCCAGTCTTTAAATATTCGAACAACTCACCTTACGGAAGTCCAGGGCCAAATACCTCAGGTATAATCTTTTCTTACTAACTTCTCAGACTTAGTAAAACATAGAATTCATATTTGTGTGCATAATTTATTAGGAAAAAATATTTTTATTTTAAATCTCGTTTTTCTTTGCTTCCAAGAGTCTTTTGTTTGTTTGTGTGGCAAATGGCTTACTTTTAATATTTTTTCTAACGCTATAAATAAAAACCTTCTAATCAAAGAACTGGCTGTCACTAAGATGCATTTAAGATATCCTTGCCTTTCCACATCTATCCTTCCTTCTCTTTTTTAATTTTTCAAAGCAAACAATTTTGATTTCTAACTTTATTATAGAAATTCTCATTTTCTTTTTTTTTTCTTTTTTTTGTGCTGGGGATCGAACTTGGGTCCTTGCACTTGGGCAGCAGGCAGGGAAACCACTGAGCTAAATCCCTGGCCCCATCTTTTGTTGTTTTTAACTATGAATGAACCCGTGTATGAAAGAATGAATGAAAAAAATACCCCCCACCCCCAAAAAAGAAAAAAAATAACCCCAGAGAGACAGGAAAAAAGCCATTTAAAGGACTCACCTTAAACACCATCATTGATAAAGGTGGAGAATGAAATAATAGCCTATACTATGTAGTTACTGTGCTCATATAGCCTTATTATCTGAAAAAATTAGTTAAGGGGTAGATGGAACTGGATGCCTTCACTCAAAAGAATCAGCAGGGTGTAGACTTTTTCTTTCCAACCATTGTCTCCTGTTAGAGATTTGTATTTTTGCTCTTATAATGTCCATGGATCCTGGGAATGTTTAAGTTTTATTCTCACTGTAGTGTGAATTATGTCCTTCAACTAATTAGATTAACACTGTGGCTATTATTTTGGCATTGGGAGTCAGCTAGTGTCTAGGAAAGGAAGACGAGTTTTTATTATTTGAATGAGTGTCTGTGGAATTCTTGACTTTAAAAAGCCATTTCAAATGTCTGGGAGAAGAAAGAAGCAGGTGTTAAGATTTAGGAAATGCCAGGAGTGGCTGTGCGCACCTGTAATCCCAGCACTCAGGAGGCTGAGTGAGGCAGGAGGATCACCATGAGTTCTAGGTCCAGCTGTGCTGCATTAGGGAGTTCAAGGTCAGCCCGAGCTATATAGTGAGACTGTCTCAAAACAAACAAAAAAATCAACAAAAAGATTTAGGAGAAAAAGATAAAGATATTTTGGATCACATATTCAGAATCTAGAAAAATCTTAGCCAGTGCAATGTTTTCTAAATGGCTTTTAAACTGGGCATGGTGGTGCCTGCCTTTAATCCCAGCACTCAGGAGGCTGAGGCAGGAGGATTGCCATGAGTTCAAGGCCAGCCTGAACTACATGTGGATACCCTGTCTCAAAAAGAATGTATTTTTAACATAATCCACATTCAGAAAAACACTTTTAAGTTCTCTTAAGTTTTTCAACATTATTTACAGTGAAGTATCTTAATACCTTTTAACTTAAAACCATAAATTAATAACACATTTTAAGTTGGAATCATAAGCATCTATCTGTGGCTTTCCTTTTAATCTGTCTTGCTATGCTAAATTTTTAAAAACAAAGTAACAGTGCTCATTTCCTGAAGTATTTAAAAGGAAAGAAGACACTTAAGGATCATCCCAAAAAAGATAATATACCTAAGAAATATTGTGTCATATAGTAATTGTGTGTGTGGTTTTTTTTTTTTTTTTTTTGGTACTGGGGATTGAATCTAGGGTCTTCCCACTGAACTACATCCCCAGCCCATTTTTAGGGACCATTTGAGGGACCACCCAACTATTTTCTATAGTGTCTGTACCATTTTACATTCCCACTAGTAATGCATGAAAGTTCAAGTTAACCCTCCGTCCCCTTCAACATTTATTTTCCACTTTTAAAACTGATTTTTTAAAAAATGTTTTTTGTTTATTTTGTTTTGTGGTGCCAGGGCTTTGTGCATGCCTGGCAAGTGCTCCAGCCTTGAGCTTCACTCTTGGCCTCAATATTTTTATGTTTTCATTGGTCATTTGGAGATAGGGTCTCACCATGTAGCCTAGGCTGGCTTTGAACTCACAGCAGTCTTCCTGCCTCAGCCTCCCTGGGATTACAGGTGTGCACCACCATGCCCCGATAGCAGCTTTATTCTTAATAGCCCCAAAGTGGTAACAACTCAGATGATCATCAACTGATGAACAGATCAGCAAAAGGTGATATATCCAAACAAGGGAATACTTTTCACTCACAAAGCATTAAGCCCAGATAATTGTAGCATTATAGGTAAACCTTGAATACATGCTAAGTAAAAGAAGCCAGACATAAAAGACCATGTTTTGTATGATCCCATTTATATGAAATGTCCAAAAACCAGGAAATCTATAGGGAAAGGAAGCTGATTAGTGTTTGCCAGGACCGAGGTGTTAGGGATGGTTTCCCAAGTTGCTGAAAATATGCTGGAATTAGATAGTAGTCATGGTTGCACATAATTGTGGATATATTGAAAGCCACTGAATAGCACATTTAACATGTGGTGGGTTTTCTTTCATTTGTTTGTTGTTTGTTTGAGATGGGGTCTTGTTATGTTGCCCAGGCTGGCCTCAAACTTTAGATTCTCCCAATTCAGCCTCCTAAGTAGCAGGTATTATAGGTGCATATCTGGTCTTTTAAAATGGTGAACTTGCCAGGGATGATGGCTCACACCTGTAATTCCAGCTCTCGAGATGCTGAGGTAGGAGGATCTCCATGAGTTCAAGGGCAGCCTGGACTACACTGTGAGACTGTCTCAAAAAAGAACAAATATATGTGTGTGTGTATGAATTTTACACTTTTTTCCCTTGGTACCAGGGATTGAACTCAGGACCTTGCACTTGCAAGCCAGGCGCAGCACCACTGAGCTAAATCCCTGGCCTAATTTTACACTTTTTTAAAAAGGAAGGCACTGATTGCCCTGATCCTCCATCCTGTAGGGGCCAGGTCTCTGCAGCTTTCATTCTTGGGTCAGTGTTCTAAGGGGAAGCTCTCTCGTTGGCTGCAGGTCTCTATTTTATAGGTTAGGCGTGATAGAAACTAATTCTGTATTTGGTGGCATGGAATGTGGACTTGAGTTGTCAGTTGTTTACAGTTGTTTGGCAAGGGCAGTTACCTAGAACCTAAGGACATTAGGGCTATAGAAAATTGTACTCTTGCTATTAAAGAAAAGGATGCCTCTGATCCTTAAGGAGCTGAGCAGAGGTTCAGCCCTCCCATTGGTAGAAGAGCCCTTGGTTGTCCAGCCAACCCAGTATGAGCATCTAGGTCATTTTCAAACAATCCCCCTCCTGTTTCTCGCCTCTGTATGTATCCATTCATGGTTCTACAGTGTATACAATGTAGGTACAACACATAGATTATCTTAAAGGTAATATGTGTTTATAAATGGCTTTGGTTTATTTCATGGTCTATATATCTTAAATTCTAATCATTGAAGAGTCATTTCCCTTTAAGGGAAGCAGATTATCTCAGGTGAATTGAAATTACCTTTCTAGGGGCACTTTTTTTTGATACAGTTAATTTTTAGCTAATACATGAAACATAAAGAGTTGTACATATTTGTGGGGTACAATATGATGTTTTGATAAATGTATGCATTGTGTAATGTTTAATCAGATTGGACATACCTATCTCTCAAATATTTATCATCTCTCCCCCCACCCCCACCATACCCTTTTGCAGTACTAGGGGTTGAACCAGGGCCTTTGCACTGAGCTACATCCCCAGCCCTTTTTATTTTTTTTTTATTTTGAGACAAGCTCTTCCTAAGTCATTAAGTTCCCTAGGCCAGGCTCAAATTTTTTTTATCCTTCTGCCTCAGCCTTCCAAGATATGTAGCACTATACCTGGTTTATGGTAAACACATTCAAGATCTCTTCTAGCTTTTTGAAATATACAGTATATTATTATTATCCATACTTACCCACTTGTGCAATAGCCCACAAGAACTTATTCCTGTCTAGCTATAACTTGGTACTCATTGACCAGCCTTTTGTTATCCCTCCTTTCCCCTTATTAGAATGCAGTTATTCAAACATCCAAAACTGGGATTCAGAACCTAAGAGCTTACATGTTTTTTATTTGTGGTGTGTATGTTCAAAGCAAACTTTTTTTTCTTTAATAGTAACTCAGACTGTAGAAAATTCATAAGAATGCTTCAGGGACTAGACTTCGCAAGAATCCTATAGCCCATACATATTTTACAGTTAAGATAAGGAGATATAATGAAGGTAAGGAATTATTGTTAGTATTTTGGTATAATATTGGCATTGCAGTTAATTAAATGACCTCTTATATTTTAGAGATGTATACTGAAGAATTTACAAATGTAGTAAAGTTACTTGTAGATTTAATAAAATCTAATGAGGTGTTTGGATTTGGAGGGCTTATAGATGAAACAAAATTGGCCATATGTTGATAATTGTTGAAGCTGGTGATGGATACCTGGGTCTTTGTTCTACTTTTCTACGTGTTTGAGAGTTTCTGTAATAAATTAGAAGTCAGGGAGAAGGCCACAGAACTATCTTTAAGAACAGTATTTATGCTATTTTGGAAGTAATAACTTCTTGTCATAGGAGATATTCAAACATGGATCAAAAAAGTCAGCTTCCTGGCGAGTGTGGCAGCACATGTCTATGATACCAGCACTCCAGAGGCTGAGGTAGGAGGATTGCTGTGAGCTCAAGGTGTTGCTACATAATGAGTTCAAGGCCAGCCTGAACATAGCAAGATCTTGTCCCCCCCCCCCAAAAAAAAGGTCAGCTTCCTGTTGGGCCTTGTGCCACATGCCTATAATCTCAGATACTCAGGCAGCTGAGGCAAGAGGATTATAAATTGGAGGCCAACCTGGGCAATTAAAGGAGATCCTTTCTCAAAATAAAAAGGGCTGAGTATGTAACTCAGTGTGAGGCCCTCACTACTGAGAGGGGCGAGAGTCAACTTCCAAAAATTAGTTATATGTCACAATGTCCTGCAAAGTTTAGGCCTACTCAATCCTGACTT